AGCTGCCGTCTGGGTCAGCCCAATCACTCCAGCCTTGGATGCTGCGTAGTTTGTCTGTCCCATGTTCCCCACCTATAGGTGGGTCAGAGATTTGGGATGAGTCAGGAGTCCCAAGGAGGGGCTCTCTGATCTATGCCCAACTAGCTGGCTGACCTCATCCCAACTCAGTCTGACCTTCCCTATGATGCTACTGATGTTGATGATGGACCCACGGCAACCACTGGACACCAGGGCTTGGGCTGCAGCCTGAGTGACTAGAAAGATGCCCTAGTGAGGAAAGAGCAACAAGGCAGAAAGGATCAGCTGGGGTGACAGTCTTCTTCCAGCTCCCTCCCCCAGGCTGGAGGAACCAGAAGTCACAGGTTCAGGGGTCACCACCTTGAGATTGACAGCTATGACTTTGTCCCAGTCATCCTCAGACATGCGGAGCAGAACCTCATCCCTGGTGATCCCCGCACAAGACACAACGACAGATGGCGGGCGAGAAAAGCAGGCCTATGGAAGTGGGCGGTTACACACCAAAACCCAAGTAGAGCCCGGGCAATGGAGGCAATGTCGGCTCTTTAAAGAGGGCGAGGTCCTGTCGCGTTCACCTGTACTTGTTCCAGCAGGCGCCTGACCGCCCCGGACTCAGACACGTTAGCCTGGAAGGCGGCGTGGGCCCCGCCGGGCGCCACCTCCTCGCTCCCCTGCCCGCCCAGCAGCCACACCGTCTTGCATGCCGCCGCCTTGTCCAGGTCGCAAGCGGCCACGGTGGCCCCCTCTCTGGCTAGGCGCACACTGACGGCCCGGCCGATGCCGCCACCCGCGCCTGAGGTGGGAGAGAACACGCAGGAGGGGGGAAAAGGGGAGTGGGCAGGGGTCAGAGGTCAACAGGGCGCAAAGTTAGTAAAATTTGGACCGGGGGCCAGAGGTCACAGCGCCTGCAGACGCCGAAGGCGCGCCCCCGACAACACTCCGGCACCCCAACCCGCCTGGGGAGGACATCCCCTCAACCTGTGACCAGGGCCAACGCGGAGCGGAGCCTGAGCTGAGACGCCATGTCCGGCCGCGGGTGGGCGGGCACCCAGCACTGAGCCAATCCCAGCGCAGAGGGGGCGTGGCAAGAGCAAAGCCGCGCCAATCTAAGCCAGGCCAGCGTTGGGCCATCTGCGGCCACCAGCGCAGGCTGACCTCCCACTGTGGGGGCGGGGCCAGTCACCACCACTTGGGGGCCTGGGGAGTGGGGAGATGAGGGGCCCCCATTCCTCCAGAAAAAGACAAAGACCGCGTGTGGGGCGGAAGATCCGAGGGCTTTATTTCCGGTCACCACCCCTACCCCTCGATTCAAACAGTGATATCAAAAGAATAGAAAAAAAATCAGGCCAGGAGATTAGCAACCCACCTCCTCCCTCAATCACTCCCAAATCAGGACACACGATTGATGTTTAATTGATGTACATCCCCAGCTCTTCCTGCTACCCCCCCCTCCCTCCAGGGCTCTGGTCTTCCCTGAAGCTTCCACCAACAGGTGGGAAGGGGAGGCAGACCTTGGAAGAAACCTGTGTGTGGTAGCTTGGTCCTCTGAAAACAGGTTGGGTACGGTACACGGCATAGGCTGTCATCAACCCCTCTCTTTTCCAGCCTTCTTCATGGCCCCATTTAGCCCCCAAACCCAACAACATGGTCAGCACATGACTAACACTATGGTCCCTCTGACTTCTCACTCTCACTTCTGCAGCTCCTGTAAGACTGCAAAGTCTTGATGGCCCTAATGCCAAAGTCACCACTTCCCTAGGATACAACTTCCTTTGGCAGATGTCTCTGGCCAGGGCCCCCAACCTCCACAGATCCCTGACCTGGAGGACTTAAGAGGCTAGAGGTTTGGGGCTGGGGTGGGGGTGGTTTACCCCACCTCTCACTCGAGGTGGGCTATCAGCACCATCATGACAACTCCTCCCAGCAGCCCCAGCACCTCCAGAAGTGACTGCAATGGTGATGCCTCCCTCAACAGCTCAGGCAACACGGACACCGTTGCTACGTAGATAAAGCCACCTGCAGTGAATGGCAGAATCCAGCCAGGACCTGTACCACCTGCAACTTCACTGCCCGCTGCCCCTCCTTCAGTTAGGAGGGCACAGGCTGTGCCTGCCAGTGCCCCTATTGCTGTCAGTAGTTGTAGACGCATCGCCTGGTGGGCAGAAAAGACAGAAAGGTACTCAGCAACATCTAAAGATGATCAGCTGTTAGGCACGTCTGGTGGGGTATAGGTACATATGGGCAGAGTGCATGTCTTTGGGAACTAAAGACTAAGTCAAAAAGAGGAGGATCTAGAATAGACACTGTCTGGAAAATCTTAAAATATCAAAGAGGTCCTTCCTACAGGCCTCTGATTGAGTAGGTCAGGGTGAAAGACCCTCATAAACCATTCAGATGGTTTGTGGACCATAGTTGAAGAAATACTCAGCCACAGAACAAAGAAACAGAATTTCTTCCCCCTCATTTCTGGAGAACTTGTTGTTCGTAACATTACAGCCTGTTTGGAACTAATGAGAGGTGATCATGGGTTTTGGGTGGGTGAACAGGAGGTAAAGAGTTTGAGGCAATCATGTCTGATACACAGCATCACCAACCTGCTTTTTGCTGCACCCAGACTGAACCAGGATGGCAAAGTCCCCGACTTCATGGGGTACTTCGTGTAGCAGGACGGTCATTGTGGTCAGGATTCCTAGCCCCCAACCTCCTCTAAATGAAGCACCAATGGCCAGACCATCTGTGAAGTTGTGTGCCAGGTCAGCAGCCAGATTCAGGTACCCTGATACACGTAGGTCTTGTACAAGTGGAAAGGAAGACAAAATGATTATCACCCCTAATTCCAGCCCTGGTCAGCCCTTATCACATCTCTCCCCAGAGATCACTTCACACCCAGCCCCTTCATGTTTCTCAGACACCTGCCATTACCCACAGTGCACATTCCATGTGAAATATGATAACCCTTGCCCATGTTTATCAATAACTCTGGCCCTCACCTGAACCTGTTTTTTCTTCTCCAGAATTCTGAGGTCTCACTGGCCCATCTTTGAGCCCTGTGCTTCCTCCTCTCCTCTTCCGAGACCCACCTGCTTCCTTTTCTTCCTCCTCTGAGCTCTGTTTCTCCTTTGAAGTATGCTCTGAGAGAAGAAGTTAGTAAAAGCGGAGAACAGAGATCTCCAAAAATGTCCTCAAAAGAGAAGTCCCCTTCCACCTAAGAGCCATAGGATGAAGGGATTCTGAGGCAGGCAAGGTGCTTCTTAAGGAAAGTTGTTCCTGGACTTACCCTGTTTTCCATGCCCATGACTTCCCTGTGTGTGACCATGAGTTTGTCCATGTCCATGACTGTGTCCATGTCCGCCTTTCACATGTCTCACAAATTTCTCCACCACAAGAAAGGCAACAATTCCACTGAGGACCCACAGTCCCACAGACAGAATGGGGCCCTGGCCTGGAAATAGAGACATTGAGGGAGATGTGGATTCGAGACTCCTTTTCCCCAAGTACAGGAGGAGAATAGGGAGAGAAAGACCTTCCCCAACATCCCAACACATCTCCATCCATTCCCTCTTTACCACTGTGAGAGTGTCCATGCCCAGGCTGTTCCAGAGGGTGGTGAGAATGAGGTTCTAGAGAAAGGGAGAGAAAAGGTCAAATGAGAAACTACCCTGCCCAAGTGGCATGCATTTGGGGAGATACTGGAAAGTCAGGGATGACAAAGGGGAAAAGAACCCTTTTGCCCAAAAAATAAAATATATTAAGATTTGCAGTAGTGGCCAAAGATCACTTACCCAGGGCGTGAGGGATGAGGTGCAGAAAGGCATCTCCCAAGAGCCCACCCGAAGCAAAACTGAGCAAGATCTGGAGCAGAGAGCGGTGCCGGGGGGAGTTTGATTCCACAGGGATAAGGAAGAGGACAAAAAATGGAGCTGCAGAGATCAGAACGGTGGCCCCCAGTGCCTGGTGAGGAGAGAGTCAGGGGTCAAGTGGTGCGGGGTTTCCCAAAAATCCAGAACCGGCCCCTCTCTCCCCCATCCCTTGGGGACTCACATAAGCCCAGAGAGTGACAGTGTCCAGGTCCTGCTTGATGCCTGGAGCCCCAGACTCCCCATAGCCTCCATGGCTGTGCTCATGGTCATGTCCATGTCCTCTGTGGTAGAGGCTCTCATGTGATTGGCCATGGCTATGGCCATGGTGCAAATCCTCATGTGAATGTCCATGTTCGTGACCGTGGGTATGCCCGTGCCAGATGCTCTCGTGAGTGTGGCCATGGCCAGGAGCATGACTGTGTCCATGGTGGAAATCCTCATGTGAGCGCCTGTGGCTGTGGCCATGGAAGTCCTCGTGCAAGTCCTCGTGCAGGTCGCCATCACCCCCGTGTCCGGCCACTAGCAGCCCCAAGGCCGCCCAGGTCAGCAGTCCCACGGCCACCCAGTGGGGGGCCCCCAGGCCTCTGGCCATCGCGCTGACCAGAGGGACAGAGACAGTGACTCCACTTGACCCTCAACTCTACACCTATGAGGGGTCAGCTTTACTCCGTTCGTGCCCTCCGTCCACTTCTATGGGCCGCTACCCCATTCCGCTGTCCCCACCCACATTGTTCCCAAGACTCGGTCCCTTTATCTCAAACCCCCTCCCGGATATAGGGCCCCGGGACACCGCTCTAGGCTTTGATCCTCCACTTTACGGACTCTCTGGGCCCTCGTCTCTATGATCCACTAAGTAGTGGAAAGGGCCTGGAAAGGACGGTAGGGTAAAGCAGGGAATTCTCACCGGCTTCAGGATCCTCTCCTTTCCCGGTTTGCTCGGACGTGGCAGTCCCGCCTCTGGCTCCCGCGAGAGCAGGAAGTTCCGTTCTAGGTCGGTCCCGATACCTTTACCAATATGGTGGCACTCTGGTGGCGGCCCAGACGCCCTACTCTGGCGCGCATGCGCGGGTGTGGAGGTTATTTGAGGGGAGGCTGGGCGAGGCCGGCTAACAGGGCCGAGGAGACCGCCTCCTCCGTTTCCAACTAGACGAGGGGGCGGGAACTAGCGCGGAGACTTCCCGTCTATACCAAGATGGCTGCCATATCGGCGCTGTCATTTTGGTACAGAGCAGAGCGAAGCGCTTAATTCGACCCGGTTCAGGCCAGAGTCTTTTTCTCTGGGGCTTCCTCGTGCTCAGCTAGCCCCCTGGTCAATATTTGGGAATCCCTGATACCTCTTCGGTATCCTTGCACTCAGCCAAGACTCATGTCTTGGGCTGCTCGCCCGCCCTTCCTCCCCCAGCGGCATGCCGCAGGGCAGTGTGGGCCGGTGGGGGTGCGAAAAGAAATGCATTGTGGGGTCGCCTCCCGGTGGCGGCGGCGACGGCCCTGGCTGGATCCCGCAGCGGCGGCGGCGGCGGCAGCAGCCGGAGAACAACAAACCCCGGAGCCGGAGCCGGGGGAGGCTGGACGGGACGGGATGGGCGACAGCGGGCGGGGTGAGTGCCCTAGCGGACGGACGGGCGAACCAGTGACCGCGTTATCTGCGACCCCTCCCCCGCGTCCCCTGGCGCTCTTTTCCTGGCGCTCCCGCCCCCTTGTTTGTAAACATGCGTCCCCTCCCTCCCTAGGGCCTTAGCGCCCTCCCCCCCCGGGGCGGGGCGGGGGAGCTTCCGCCCTCCTAGCTTTGGCTGTTTGAGGCCCTACAATCTGGAGGTCCCGGGCGTGGGACACGAGTCCTCAAGTTTGGGGACTCTGGACGTTTGAAGGCAGATCCTGCTTCCTAGGAGGGGTTCTCTTCCGCCTCTTTTGCTTGTACAGTCGGGCTACAAGCTGGGAATGGAGGGGCCGTCAGTTGCACCCCACGTGCTGCCCCACCCACATAAGACATGACTGGCTTGGGGTGACTAAATGCATTGCTTGGAATTCTCCCTCGCCTGAACTAGCCTGTCTCTTGTCAACCCCCTCCTCTCACCACAATTAGGAGTTAAGCCCTTGTTTGACAACGGGGTGTTTCTGGACATGAGGATGAGTGGGGTGGGTTGGGGTGGGGTGCGGTGGGGGATTAGAGAGAGAATTAAAGTCTCCAGTTGGATGATCTATGTCTCATTTTCTCTTTTTTGTCTTTCTGTCTGTGTGTCTCTGTGCCTGTATGTACCCCTCCCTCAGACTCCCGAAGCCCAGACAGTTCCTCCCCGAATCCCCTTCCCCAGGGGGCCCCTCCCCCTTCTCCTCCTGGGCTACCCCTACCCCCGTCAGCAGCCTCATCCCTTGGAGGTTCCGGGGCCCCACCCCCACCCCCGATGCCACCCCCCCCACTGGGCTCCCCTTTCCCGGTCATCAGCTCTTCCATGGGGTCCCCTGGTCTGCCCCCTCCAGCTCCCCCAGGATTCTCCGGGCCTGTCAGCAGTCCCCAGGTGAGAGGTCATGGCTCACTGACTGCCTCTCCACTTTCATTTCCTTGTTTTCCTTGTGACCCCAGATCCTTGTGTGAACTTCCCCATGGTCCACTGACCTTCCAGTCCTCTAATCCTGGCAGGCCTGTGGTCCTTGTGAGACCCTTTGCCCTTCCTGAGGTGACTGATCTTTCAGTGCATGCTTCCTCCCCACCCTATAAAAGAACCCTGAATATTCTGATGTCCCTTTCATCTATCTGTTATTTTTGCCCTTTTTGTCCCATCTGCCATCCTGAAATACATGCCCTTCAGGGCCCCTGTATTGCACAATTTCAGGGAGAACTGTATGTCTGATCTCTTTGCGGTTGTGCTCCAGGGGTGGCCCTTCACAGACTGCAGTGTAAATAATGTCCTCTGTAATGTGCAATGCAGGGCCCTGCCTAGGTGGTAGGGGATGATTTCCATGACCTCTGAGAGATTCTCCTTCCCAATGAGTCTCCCTGTGACTTCCCTATTTCCCCCATCCCAGATTAACTCAACAGTGTCGCTCCCTGGGGGTGGGTCTGGCCCCCCTGAAGATGTGAAGCCACCAGTCTTAGGGGTCCGGGGCCTGCACTGTCCACCCCCTCCAGGTGGCCCTGGGGCTGGCAAAAGGCTTTGCGCCATCTGCGGGGACCGAAGCTCAGGTATGGGGCTCAGAGGATCACCAGAGAGGAAGAAAGAGAGTGTCTGACATTTACCAACACCTGTGGGATTCCCAGGGGCTCACAGGGTTACATTGGAGCAAGTGGGTGGGGGGACGCCTGGTGATAGGTAAGGGACCTGGAGCTCGGATATGGGATGGGGGATGGTCAGAGGAAAGCGGGGGCTGGTATAGGGTTTTTGAACAGTGAGGAGTGCGGGACTGGATCATCCCTCGTGTCTGGGTTCCCCATCTCTGGATTTGGCAATGGATTTAAGCTAAGTTTGCTGGGGGGAAGCTGGCAAGAGACATAATGGCAAGGGACGTCCGTGCAGCCTTGTTGCTCTTCCCCTCGCCTTCTAGGCAAACACTATGGGGTTTACAGCTGTGAGGGCTGCAAAGGCTTCTTCAAGCGCACCATCCGTAAGGACCTGACCTACTCGTGCCGGGACAACAAGGACTGCACCGTGGACAAGCGCCAGCGCAACCGCTGTCAGTACTGCCGCTACCAGAAGTGCCTGGCCACCGGCATGAAGAGGGAGGGTAAGGGCCCGCCAGCCAGGCTTCCCTGGGCTACCCTGCGGGAGAGGAGGGAGGAGGTGGAGGGAGACTGCAGGAAAGGCCAAACCGTGCCTCTAGGGAGGACGGCACTGTTCTCTCTCCTCCTCCAGAGGGCGGTATTCGATTCCTCTCTCCCGTCAGCAGCTCTTGTCCCTGGTATGCTGCTTCGTTCTCTAGTCTCCTTCTTAATGGGGGTGCTTCTCTGCGGCCTGCCCCTAGGACCCATCCTCCCGTCCCTAGTGCTAGGGTAGGCTAAGCTTTCCTTACCCACGAGGGCCGTCTCTGTCTCCCCTTCAGTTACCTGAATAGTCCCTCCTCTTTGACCCAGTGGTTGCTTATCTGTGGTCAGTCCTCCAAAGTCTGGGACTCTACTCATTTAGAAAGTTACAGACTTTACTGAAGACCTCAGGGATGCCTTCCCTTTTCTTTATCTTCTTAAGTCTGATTCTGGAATTCTCAGACTCTTTGGAGTGTCTTAGTCAAATCTCTCATTTTAGCGAAGATGAGCCTGAGGCCTGGTTTTCCCAAGGTCATGTAACAAAGGAGGGGCAGGGCTGGGATCAGAATCCATCCTTGAAGACTCAGGCCAGTGATCCTTTCACTGCTCTTTGTTGAATCAGAAGAGCATCAGATTTGCAGTCAGGCACCCTTGGATTTAGATGGATGACTTGCCGTGTATTACGTGAACTTGGGCAAGCTATCTAACTTGTCCAAGCCCTGCATTCTTCATCTTTAATAACAGAGATAAGAGCTCACAAGATTCTTACAGTAATTGAGGGAACATTAAAATGTGTTTTCACATTTCTTAGCATGTAGTTGGTCCTCAGTTTAAACGTTAGCTTTCTCCGTCATCCTTTACCCTCCCTTCCCCTCCTCCTTCTTGGTTTATTTATCTGCCCTTTTGTAACCCCTGCTTCCAGACTGCCCCTAGTCCACCATTGCTGGTGACTTCCCCAATTCCTATAAATATCTCCTAAGGGCCATGAGAACCCTGATAAGACCCTAAGGACATTTCAGAACCCCTCACGGCTGACTGTTGACTTTCCCCTTTTTCTTTTCCTCCTCTTCCCACCCCCAGCGGTACAGGAGGAGCGTCAGCGGGGGAAGGACAAGGACGGGGATGGGGAGGGGGCTGGGGGAGCCCCCGAGGAGATGCCTGTGGACAGGATCCTGGAGGCAGAGCTTGCTGTGGAGCAGAAGAGTGACCAGGGCGTTGAGGGTCCTGGGGGAACCGGGGGTAGCGGCAGCAGCGTGAGTGATGGGGTCAATCCAGTCTCTTTCCTGATGGGGGTGGGGGATGGGAGTCTAGGTTGGTTCTATTTCCCTCTCCTCTCCCTTTCCCTCCCAACCCCCACCCCACCCCCAAACACTGCCTGGGACTGGAAGTGCTGCCAAACAAGGTCTCTCAAACATCTGAGGTGGGTGTGATAGTTTTCTCTGTCCCCATCCCAAAACAACCCAGTGGCAGAACCACAGGCAAGTCCTAAATACGTAATTGTTTTCATGAATGCCTGAGGAGAAGCCTGACTTACAAGTATTGGTTCAGATGGTTTTGAAGGGAGACTCCTTTAAGGAGGTGGTATCAGAAACATCTTACAAGGGGGGGCTTCCACTGTACCTCCAGACCTTCCATAACTCTTACCCCCCATCCCCTGCAGCCAAATGACCCCGTGACTAACATCTGTCAGGCAGCTGACAAACAGCTATTCACGCTTGTTGAGTGGGCGAAGAGGATCCCACACTTTTCCTCCTTGCCTCTGGATGACCAGGTCATATTGCTACGGGCAGGTCAGTGACCTTGGATCCCCTTGAGCTCTTGACATATGACCCCTACTCGACCTTCTGACCTTCAGTGACCCCAGTGCATACTTACATACCAAGGGGGCCAAGTTCATTGACCTCACCGCTTCTTCTTCTCTTCCCCGGATACCCTTTGAATCCCATGGTCTGCTCTCTGGCTCCTGACCCTTGCTGCCCCCAACCCAGGCTGGAATGAGCTCCTCATTGCTTCCTTCTCCCACCGATCCATTGATGTCCGAGATGGCATCCTCCTCGCCACAGGTCTTCATGTGCACCGCAACTCAGCCCATTCGGCAGGCGTGGGAGCCATCTTTGATCGGTCAGTGGCCCTCGGCTGGGCTGGCCTGTAGGTAGAGGGGGTGGGGCTATAGGCTGGTCCGTGTCCAAGGCTGGCTGAGCTGTGACCTTTGAGTGACCTGCAGGTCCCTCTCCAGGGTGCTGACAGAGCTAGTGTCCAAAATGCGTGACATGAGGATGGACAAGACAGAGCTTGGCTGCCTGAGGGCAATCATTCTGTTCAATCCAGGTAAGAGGAGGATCACCCCTGTCTCTCAAGACCAAGGCAACCTTGGAGCCTCCTCTTCTCCAGAGACTCCTAAGTTACCCAGCTATCCCCCTCAACCCGGAAATCTCCCAGCTGACCAAGAAAAGCCCACATCCACTGATACATTCCCCTTTGATCCCATTCCATTACTTGCCCTGCTTCCCTTGCCAGGCGTCTGGTAAAGGGCCAGTAGGTGGGGCCCAGAAGGGACATTGTGTGGGCCACATCTCCACATTTCTGACTTGATTTGTCTTCCTTCTTCTTCCTCCTCTTTTCCCTGCCATCTCAGATGCCAAGGGCCTCTCCAACCCTAGTGAGGTGGAGGTTCTGCGGGAGAAAGTGTACGCTTCACTGGAGACCTATTGCAAGCAGAAGTACCCTGAGCAGCAGGGACGGTGAGAAGGAGCTGTGGGGGTGAGGGGTTGTGGGGTGCCATGAGGGTGTGTTCAGGGCCCATGTGGTTCCATCTGTCTTCTCTCACCTCTACCTCAGGTTTGCCAAGCTGCTGCTACGTCTTCCTGCCCTCAGATCCATCGGCCTTAAGTGTCTAGAGCATCTGTTTTTCTTCAAGCTCATTGGAGACACCCCCATTGACACCTTCCTCATGGAGATGCTTGAGGCTCCCCACCAGCTGGCCTGAGCCCAGACCCAAACATGGTGCTCCTCCTCACACCTGAGGAGTACACATCTGAGGGGGACTCCAGCCTTGGGGCATGGTGGGGAGGGGCCATGCCCTAGGATCTTGATGGGGTGAGGAGTACAGGGCAGAGCTGAGACCTCCAAGGGGATCCATAAACCCTCCAGGGGGTTTCCGTGACATCCCAAGTCAGAGGGGACCCCAGATCCTTGTGAGGGCTGGACCTCTCCCTTCAGTGGCCTTGAGTCTCTGAATTTATCTGGGTCTGCCATGATTTGGGGTGATTTCTCACCCCCTGCCTGGAACGATCTCTCCTTCCCCCAGCACAAAGCACTGGCCTTGCTCACAGGACCTTGCTTCCTTCTCATCTTGCCTCACTTAGCTACCCATGCAAAAAGAGAGAATGGGAACTCGCCCAGAGATGGATATTGGGGGGCAGGCCCCCCAAACTGACGGACATGGGAGTAGCACTCTGACAGGCCTTCCTTGAGGCCTTGACAGTAGCCCGGCAGGTGGGGGCTACTCTGGAAGAGGGAGGGGCCCTGTCACTGTTTCCAGTCCAGAGTCCCTCTCACACCTCACCTCCTGCTGCAGTCAGACTGAAAAATAAAAAGGTGGTGGTGGTTAGGGGGTGGGTGGAGATGTAGGAACCCATCTGCTATTTTTAATTTCCTCTGAGGATAGAGACTTGCAGTTAGACTCAAAGAAGTACTGTACTTTCCCGGGTTGACTAAGAAATGCCAGCGGTGGAGGTGGTGTTTGGGAAAGGCTGGGCCCTGAGATGGTCTGTCCCTGGGGCCCTTCAAGCACTGGCCTTCCCAACCCTCTCCCCATCTCTTCTTGTCTAACTAGGGGAAGGGGCCTGGGATGTGATGGCGGGGAGGGGCAGGGGATGGTTTGGTGAGTAGGCCTCTCAGGCCCTTCCTTTCACAGCCTTCCCCCAGACCTGGGCACACACAGTGTAGCCTGGGGGACACAGGACCCTGGCCTGAGAATTGAGGGGGGATGGTCAGCCTGCAGAGATGGGGTGCTGGGGCTGCATGATTTTTGCCCTGCAGCTCTTCTCTCTGGGATTCCTTTCCCTTCTCTTTCACTCACACATAAAATAGCTTTCAAATTAAAATCGCTGTTTTCTGGACTGCGGTGACTGAATTGGGGGGGCGGCACTGCGTCGGCCACGGGCGCGTGCGGGGGGCTGGGTATCCGGTCGGGAGCTCCGGACGCGCTCCCTTGACGCCGCCGCCGAGGTTCCCTGGGGCCTGAGAGGCGGGCACAGGGTGGGGGACACAAGGCGCGCTTTGTCGGGGAGGGGGGGAGAGGGTGTGCCAGGCTGGGGGCGGGGCCGGCCGGAGGAGGAAGAGGGGGGCGGCTGATTCTCAAAGGCGCCTTGTTCGCTTGCGCCCTCCTCGCGCCAGCGGGCGGCGGCGCCTCGGCTCACCCCTGTCTTCTCCGGCTGCGCCGCGGGCTCCAGGCAGACCCGGCGCCGTGCCCGTCCGTGGGGACGCACTGGGTGCTGAGCGCGGCGGCCTCTTCGGGCGTTGCCCGCCCGGAGGCGGTCTCTCATCCCTGAGTGACCCTGTTTCCCCGCATTCTTCCAACTAGCTTCGACGGCCCCCTCATCTCTCCGATGGGTCCCTTGCCATCTGGGCTCCCGGGCTCCCTGACCTCGTCCCCCTCGTTTTCATCTCCTTGGACCTGATTATGCTGTGTGTGTCGGGCTGTCCAGTCTCTGGCTCTCTCCGCCCCCCACGCCGGGTCCCTCTGCCTCCCTTCTAACCACCTGTCCCCGGCCCCTTGCAGCCGTCGGGTAGCAGGTCCCCAGTCGCTATCTATAGCCTAGTCTATAAATACCCCCTCCCCAGGCCGGCTCTGTAATTACACTGGGCGGGGCGAAGGGAAGTAATTATGGAGACCTGATAGGGGGGAGGTAGAGACCCCCCTCCAGGCCCGCCTCTCCCCTCCCACCGTGCCCTAAGTCCCGCCCAGGACTGCTGAAAAGGAGTCTCTGGGCCCCCAGGTGGGAGGGAGTTGAGGTGGGGGCTCTGAGTGGACCTCTGGGTCCTAGAAAAGGAAGGGGCAAGGGAAGAGATATCGGGGTTCCCGAAAAGGTAATCTTGGATACAGGCCACTCAGTCTCTGCAAGGAGCAGGGGAAAGCAGTCTGAGGGTCAGCGAAGGAGGGCTCCTGCCCCCCACTCCCAACCAGGTGGAGATCGAGGGTGGGTTTCCCCTCGGTGGCTGTGGGCGGGCGGCTGGAGGAGGGGGCTGGGCCGGGGGCGGGGTGGGGGCTGTGGGCCGCCGGGGTGGCCGGGGACACACAGGAGCGGCGGCCACCGAGGAAGGAGCAGCGCCAGAGCCCCGACGGCGCCCGGCTGCATGGAGCTGGGCCGCTGAGAGCTGTCGCTACCCGACAGCCTCTGACCTCCGCGGGACCCCAGCGTCCGAGGCTCAAAGCCTGCTCATTCTCTCCCGTCAGCCTTGGGGCGTTCTGCTCCTCTGGCCGCCCATAGATCCCTGGGACCCGGCGTTCGGGTCGCCAGCCATGGAGCGGCGCAGCCGCTGCCATCGCCTCCTCCTGCTGGTACCGCTGGTGCTGGGGTTGAGCGCGGTCCCCGCCAGGGCAGGTAAGAGGA